GAGCAATAACAAGTAATGGTGAGGCCGTCGGGGAAAAAGGAACACTTCTACATTGTTGATGGGGAAGTAAAAAAGTACAGCCACTATGAAGATCAGTATGCTGATTCCTCAAAAGCCTAAAGAGAGATATTTCACTTCACCTGACTCTTGTGGCTTGTGTCTAAATGTTTCTCCAAGCCTCACGCAGTCAGAGGTAAGGCTTTTCAGAGGTGACTAGATCCTGAGTGTATGATGCTGGGACTAAAGATATGTGATTACAAGATTAGTCCCCTGATTGGTGAGGCGTAGTTCTAGGGCCAGGTAATGGGAAGACCCTCCCTGGGTGTGAGTGCTGCTCAGCCTGAGGGCAGGTAACCTGGATAGAATACAACAGGCAGAAAGAGGCTGCTGACATTGTCCGCTGCTTGCTGCTGCGCTCCCTCCCTGCTTGCTGCATCCTGCCTGCCATGAACTGCTTCTCCTCCCTCACATGCCTGCCTTGGAGCCCTCCAACTCTGATCTGAGACTGCTAAAACTATGACCTACAATAAACCTTTTAGCTACAAAGAAACCCAAGGTTTTCAATGATTTTCTGCATTTGTTTATTTTCACTACCTTTTCCTTTGTTAAGCCATTCGAACAATTAATGGGTGTCATGAACTCCAGTTCTTTAAGAGAAAGAATTGGTTCCCATAAATACATGGAAAGAAATTCATCAGGAATTTAGCATCAGCTTTTTTTATTTGCCGGGGTATGACGTGGCATGCCAGAATCCAAAGTATTCCTCTCCAAAGTACATAGTAGCACCACTGAGCAACTCGGACTAAATTTTTGGCCTGTTGTCTTACCCTTGCTACAAAGCATTTATTTTGTTTCTGTTTGTTCAAAAGATCAGTGATAAAATGGTGACCATCTGCGTATCACTTGTCTGTTTTCAAAAGAGCTAGTATTGCTAAAAGTTATGTGCTGTTCATCTTACTTGTGGAATGACGAGTTTTGTTTTGTTTCTCTTGGTTTTATTTGGCTTGAACATTCTGTGTTCACACAGTGGCCCCTAAAAGTTACTAGAAGAATTAGATAAAAAACTCATTTATTATTTTCATAAATAATGATGCCTTCCTTTTGCTCAGAGTAAGCAACAAAAATTATTCACACTAAGGTAGAGTAGCCAAAATGCCTAAAAATGCACATTTTTATCATTCCTAACATAAGCAGAGGCACTGTGGTGTACTATCATAGTACATAATAATAGAAATGAATTATGTCAGTAAAACGTTGAGGTTTAAGATTTACCATGATAAATATTTTTCATTAAAGTGAAATGTCTTGGCAGAGTCATTTTCATATGTGCGGTGCTGACACAAGGAGGCCAGCTGCGCCGTGCAGATGCCGAGACGCGGGTCTGTGTTATTAATGATTTATCATGTCGCGGAGAGTGCAGATTAGTTCTGAAGCCAATCCCTTGCCACAGAAGCACTTCCTATCCTGTGCGTGTGTGCATTCCAAATCGAAGTCATCGCCGAGGTTGCAGCTACCTTTGAAATTCCAATATCTTTCTCTTCACTTTGGAACACAAAAATCTTCATCCTAAACTGTGTTACTCGTTGAAATTCATGCAAAATGTATTTTCCTGTCAACTGGACAGCGAGGCGTGAGCACTTCAATGAACAGACCCAGCCACACAGAGAAGGGAGAAAGAGGGGAACAGATTGGGATTTAATGAGCACCTCTGGTGGGACTGTAAGGCAGCGTCACGTGGGAATTTGGCTTCAGTTTCTAACTCAGTTCCATAAGATGCCAGAATTATACTGCCTTCCCCACATCTATAAAAATATTGCCTAATATTTATTCTGTGCTTGCTGTGTGCTAAGTAAGATGCTAAACATTTTACATATGTGTTAGCATATCCAATCTCCATAAAATCCATTTGAAACATTATTGTCACCATCCCTGTTTTACCGATGAGAAGCCCAGGGTGGTTAAATAAATGATCTAGGAAGAGGGGGAGGATTGGAATCCAAACTGAATACTACTCGAGAGCACCCCTAGTAGCTGGGACCTGGCTGGTAACTACTATTACAATGAAATAAGGGGTGTGCCACAAATCCTAGCTGGTGGCTGCCTGTGTGTGTGGTATTACCAAATCACAACCATAACAATAACAATAATAATAATAATAATGTTGCCTACAAATGCTTAAAATGGAGTTGTCACACCCATTTCAGTTAATAATTAAATTAAAGAATTGTACTTTCTAGTTGTAATTTTTATGGACAGTTAGACACAAAGATTGTCTATACTATCCAGATGGCTGTTTAAACTTAAAACTAGACTGTAAAATACATATATTACTTATTATACAGATAATACTACAGTGTAAGCATTGACCACATAGAGATGATCTTGTAAATTTGTCTTTCTGGGTACGAAAATAGCCAGATGTTGCCATGTGGCCATTCATTCATCGGCCCCCATAGAACAGGCTCAGGCTGGCACCCTGCTGGGCCTGGGGCAACAGGCTGACTCTCTCCTCTGGAGAAGTACCCTGGGGAAGAAAGAAAGCCTTCCTGATGGAGCCCATGGACCAGCGGGAGGAGGCTGCGGGCTCCTTCGCCAGATGTGTTTGGCCAGGATTTATTTATTCACTGCCCCCACCATCCCGAGCACTGGGGCTGCCAGGTAAGGGACAGCAGGACCTCGGCACCCGGAAGTGTCCAGTGAGATGGCACTCTTCCCATCACGTGACTTGGTAGAGGTCAGACCCGATGCAGAAGAGACAATGAGATCCACCCAATGGGTTAGTGGAGTGAAGAAGGTTCTGGCACCCAAACATTTATTTCATTTTTTTAAGAAAAGCATAAATAAAGCTACAGCGCAAATGGGGAACAGCACCCCAGAAAACGGAGAGGCAGCTGGTTCTGTGGCCTGAAGGGAATTGCAGGTCTCCAGGCAAAGCACCAAGTGTAGGGGGTGGGGTGGGGTGCTGGACAATTAGCAGGATTAAAAGGATGTAAAATAAACTAACTAATGGAACCAAGTGTCAGTCCACTGTGACAGCGGCAGCCTCATGGAGGGGGCAGTGTCCTCAGACTTCTTTCCACAAATGTCCAAAAGGAAAGTATGGTCTTCCCATCAAGATTCTCTCTAGAAACCAGAGATAAGACAGAGCCTAAAGGACAGACTTTTGATCTTCATGGAAAAGCCAAGGACAGCTGTCTCTCCTCCTGAGCTCCCTGACCCTTCCCCTAGCAGACCAAACACGGGGGTGGACATGGAGCTCCGGACTTGTATTTAGACTGGAAACTCCTCCAGTCCATGGCTAGCAACGGCCTAGCAGCAAACCCTTCTGCAGCTAGAGTTTTTATTCCCAGCTCTAAGAACTAGGGAAACCATGCTCCGCAAAGCTGGCTCTTATGGAGTTAGAGCCAAGAGTTGAAAAATCCAGAGAACTGAACTTCCATCTGTTGCCTTTGGTACTCCTGCAGCCTGGGAACCAGGCACCGGCTTTCCATGCCTGGTGTGGGGGGTCTGAGTCGTGCTGACCCGTGACACCTCCTTTCCTCTTCATTTAGTGCACTGCGCTCTGCCGGCCCTGGGCTCTGCTGCTCCCTTGATGGGGGAGAATAGAGCAGCCTTGGCACCAGCAAGAGGCGCAGCCTTCTGGGTTAGAAGTCGGCTGGGAAGGCCATGACTGCCAAGTAACCTGCGGTGATGTCAGAGCCCAGCCCAGCCACAGGACCACCCTCCCCAGCCCCTCCACAAAGCCTTGGCCACAGAAAACCATGAGCTGGGCTGCCAAGTTCCTTCCACCCCCTACCCTTTCCTTGCAATAGCAAGAACAGCGGGAAGAGAGCTTATGAGTAAAAGGCTGGCCCTCGTCTGTCCCCCTTCTCTGGACTGCGGTGCAGGCAGTCAGGACACAGCCCTCTGGATGGGTCTGCAGCAGGGCTTGGAGTGTCTTACTTTTGAGTTCCTTTTCCACACCGTCGGAGGAACGTCCAGTAACAGCTCCTACATGTAAACGTGTAACTAACTCTGCTGGCGGAGGAAAGGAAGATCCCTTCCCGCTTTCTCTGGCCTCTCTCACGGCAATTAACCAGACTCAGACATTTTAAAAGTTCCCAGACAAAGCTCTTTGCTTTTTCCTCAAACAGGGACAACCTGGTGCATCCGGGTCATTGAGACCCTTAGAGATACATAATTCAACCGAAAATGATAAACAGCCCACTCTTGGAAATTTGGATTAAAATTCCTCTTATTTGGGGAAATATGCCTTACTCCCCCTCCCCACTTTCATTTGTGGCAGTCAGTTTTAAATGATGTCACTTCAAGGACATTTTCATTTTTTTCCCACAACGTATTACACGAAACACTTGCCTGCAAAACCGGCTCATTAGCCTGCGAAATTATACTGTACTGAATGGCTTTCATTCAAAGTAGAAATGGGAATTTTAGTAGGCAATTTCTGTATTTTATAAAGATAAAGCAATGTTTGATTGCCTCTTCCCAGCTGGTTTGCTTAGTGGTTATAAAGAGAAATTGGGGAGTGTGTTGTGTTGTGTTGTGTTGTGTTGGGGAGGGGGTGGTCCTGCGGGGGCGGGCTTGCAGGGATGTGCTTAAAAAATAATTCTTAAGACTGGCAAACTCAGGCAGAACTTGAGCTCCGTTGGGCTGCAAAGATTTGTCGTCTGGCTCTCTGGGGGACAGCCCCGAAAGTGAGGGAAAAGGGACAGAAGGGAACGGCGCCCTCGCAGGCTGCGGCGGGCGCGGCCAGCGCCTGGCTCGGGTGCCGGGGTTACGGGAAGCAGCGGCGCTGCGCGGAGGCGCGGAAGGGCGCGGGCCGGAGTCCGCGGAG